TCACCCATTGGGGGAGATGGGCGGCATACAAATTTGAAAATAAATAAAAATAAATAAAAATATTTCATAATTACGTGTCTGTGTAGGTTGCCAAATTTATCTCCATAAAATATATAGTAAGACACAAACAATAAAAAAGTAGAACAACACATTATTAATGCAGCTGTTTTTGATAGAAGCATTAACAGTTCCCTGATCATGATATAAGTAACTATGTAGATCTGCTCACTTTTCATACTGTATCCCAGCATGTCTCTTTATGATTGGTAAAACGCCAATGTGATAAGAAGGCTAGGAGCACATTCAGTATCAATGAAACTTATAATTTCTTTGCTGAAAGCTGAAGTACTATTGAATGAATGGATTGTGGGGAAAATTCTAGACTTACAGGAGTAAAATTTATGAACCTGCATTTAAAAATCAATGTCACTGCATTTTCTGAATGAACTGATTTATCACAGACAAAAGAGCTCTGAGACTTTCAAAGATATTTCATACTTTTTTCCTCTCCTACACAAAACTTCAGTAAAGTTCAGTAGTTCGTGCCTCAAAATTTCCATTTGTGCCTCGAGGACAAAGGTGAGGCATTAAAATAAATGGGAACAGTGTTTGTAGTTTTAATTTGTATCAGTGGAAGAACTGAAACGAATGAAGAAAATATCCAGAGTATTTTACATTGCTGTCAACTAGAAAATGGCTGAGGCCAGTCAGATCTGGAAGATTTTATAGACACCTTTTTTTTTTTTTCCTTAAAATAAAGCCTACTAAATTACATAAATGGTAAGTTTCAAATGCAAAGAAACTTTACCCTAGATCTTTCCTCCAGTTTGGTCATCATGACAACAGTTGCACCCCTTTGTTCCCACATCATTCTCCAGAAATCTCCAAAAGTTTCAGGAAGAGCTCCTTGGGTTGCAATGTAAGCATTCTGCTTTCTGTAACCATCTATGTAGTTAGCATTTATATAATCACTGCCAGGTATGCCTAAAAAAGGAAGAAAGAAAGACAATTATTTTAGTTCAACTAATTGTCTGAGTAGTAATTTTTATGTTTTCTTCTTAGTATTTTAGGAGGACTATTTGTATTTTGTGTGGAATTTTCACTTCTTGTATTCTATGATGACTCAAACAAAGCGTAACTGTATATGTATAATCACCTGCTGAATTGTTTGCTTTACTGCCATGTTTTAACTAGCCAACTTTCATCCATCAAAGGTGGTTTTGAAATGAACCCTCCTCTAATATTACATTTATTACCTAACAAGGCTTGCTGTCTTTAATTCTTAGTCCTCGCTACAGTTTTACCACACAAGTTGACAAGTAGAAACTTTCTGAGGAAATGTAGTATTTTTTATATCTGGGAAATATAAAAATGCTTCTATAATTTTTACCATTGGTGATGTGATCATTAGCCTACTTACTTTAAAATATCAGCTCACTTACTTTAACATGTTAACATTACTCACTTTAACATTACAATATTAACATTACTCACTTACTTTAAAATATTTACATTATGTTTACCCAGAATATAAACTTGGATATTATTAAGCATATATTCTTTCTTTTTAGTTTTTTATATTGCTTTAATAAACAAAGAGAGGGAAATCATACCAAAATAAAACTTTTTTTAAAAAAAATTATATTAGAGAGCTGGTTTGGTGTAGTGGGTAAGACACCAGGCTAGAAACCAGGAAACGGTGAATTCCAATCAGCTGGGTGACTTTGGGCCAGTCATTCAGCCCTAGGAAGAAGGCAGTGGCAAACCACTTCTGAAAATCTTGCCAAAAAACTGTAGGGACTAGTCCAGGCAATCACCCAGAGTCAAGACTGACTCTCAACATACATACATACATAGATGTTACATATTAAAGACAGCTTAGTCTTTAAAAACAGCATTCAATCGTAACTACATAGAATGGTATTACCTTTGATTGTCCATCCTGTATAATTTAGTTTCATGAAAGGATGAGAAAGCTTGGAGAATATACTGTACTAATTGTAAATGTAAATATACAGTCAGAAAAGCTGAAACTGGCAGTGTTGATCTCAGACATGAAAAAGACCTCAAATAGATATAGTGGAAATTTTTGGAGAATGTTTTGGCCAAATAACAATTTTCCTTTGTTATTAATTGTACTGAACTGTAGTGTTCTAAGTTTCTCACCTATCCAGATGTCTTGTAGACTGATGAAATGTGTTTACTCTCAGCTTATGAACTGAGTTTTTACTAATGTAATGAAAAAAAACCTGATTAATAATATTACATAGTCAAGAATCTATTCTTTCTTACTTACTAGGTAGTATACATTATTTTACTCAGTTGGGATGATTTGTAATTCAAAATACCTAAGATTGTATCTCTTTTTTCTCCTAGCTTAATTCATAGAGAAAACACTCTAATTTCTGGATAATTTCCACTGTCTGTGTGTTTCCAAGGGCTGCAATATTATTTTTGAAACGTGTGTCAGAACTATACTGTTTGCATCACAGATTTGCAAAAAAATATTATGATAATGGAAATTATATATATGCATTTTTCTTCTATGTCACAAGCACATACTGTGGCTCCAGGACTGCATAGATCTCTAACTCCAGTGACCTCTAAAAGTTGCTACCGAAAAGGTAGTTCTTAATATAACAGAAAAGTAAATTATTAAATTACAGACACTAATCATATTAAGTATATTTTATTTAAACATAAATAAACCAAATCAAACTGATTTTTTGTCCTTTTTTCATGCACTATTTTGTAGAGTTTAACTGTAAGTATGCCACACAAAACATTCACCTTGTTATAAAACCTTTCCACTATTTATCAGGGACACATTTTAGGCTAACTGGCCTGTAATTTCATGATTTTTACATTTCTTACATAGAAATATCTTAGTAGATGCTCAAAAATGTTAAATATCCACTGCATACATGAAGAAAGCAAAATGGCTGTCTGATGAGGCTTTACAAATAGCTGTGGAAAGAAGGAATGCGAAAAGCAAGGGT